CTCCTCCAAATCTCTTTCTGGATTAAATTCTTCATCTTGTAACTTTAGCTGTTGTGACTCAAATTGTTCTTGATCGTTAGACAAGATGTTATCTAACCATCTATCAAAATTCTTCAAATCATCATCTGAGTCATAGTCCTCATCTTTTTGCTCATTTACCTGCGCTACTTCCACAAGAAAAGCATCAAAAGCATTGAGATTTGGAAAATACATAATAAATAAAAAAATAATAAAATTAAAATTAAAATTAAACTATATAAAAAAATCAATAAAATAAAAATGATAACAATTAGCAAATAAAATTAACTATTTGAACTGTTCCCCGGCAACGGTGCCAAAAACTTGATGTGTGTAAAACCAACTAGTTTTAATCCTACTAACTTAGACACAAAATAAACACACGAAAGGCAGTGTACCTATCGATTAGTAATATAGTTCAAGCAAGTAGGGTATCGAACACAGGGAACGATAAACAATTAAAATAAATGCTAATATTATCTAAATAAAACAAATAACAAAAGGGGGTTTCTCTAGTTTTACAAGACTAGAAACTTAATTAGAATAACCAACACACAAATTAACTAACTAGCAACTAAAACAATTAATTACCAACTAAATTCAATAGTAAATAGGAATTCTGTTTAGGTACGACTCATTTGTTCCCATGGATGATTTTAATGTATCGGATTAATTCTTCATTGGCTACCGATTAAGATAATTAGGTTCATGTTCGCTATTCCTAATTCTTAGAAAACAAATTAACTCAAGCAATGGTCAGTTGTCTAAATTAACGGGTTTCCTAGATTATTGATTCGGGTTAAGTAAGACTTGTAGTGGTTAACTAAATTGGCCCTTCAATTAACCTCTTGTCGATGTTCATCCAACAAGCTTACACATTAACTTACCTATCTTCTAGTTAAATCTAGTTTCACGTTCGTTATTCCTAGACATACAATTATGTGGTCACAATAAATCATATGAAATTAATAACTAAGAGATGTTCATACAACTTAATTACTGATTTATTAATAGAAGAATAGTTATTGTCAACACATAAGGTTCTTTAACAAGCTTAACAAAACATAATTACCAATCAAAATTAATCCTACTCAAATAATCAATCCATGTTCACAAAATTGTCTACCCTAACAGAAGAATAAGTTTTTAGCTCATGATTGCAGTAAACATAAACTCAAAAACGAAATCAAAGTATGTAAACATGATTCAAATCAAAAAGTTACTAAGAATAAACCAAAATTGTCTTGATTCTCTTCACAATTGAATGTAGGGTTGATTCTTTAGTTCCTCACGACCTAGCAGCACTTCCAATCGTTTCTCAGCCTCCTAGGGTTTCTCTCCATGCTATGATATCGATCTGAAAGTCCCTTTATATAGATTTTCACAAAACAGAGGCTACTCGGCGAGTCTGTCTCTTAAAACCCGTGTACGGCAAGTCAGCGTGTCCAGAATCGCGAAAGTTCGATGTAACTAGCCGAGTAATCGACTCTACTCGCCAAGTACGTTTCGAATCAGCATTTTCTCAAAACACGAAAGTCGTCCGAAATTGTGTCTACTTTTCATAACATTTTGAATCTCGTTAATTGGAGTTACGGTTCATGAGATATGGCAAAAACACTGACGAGGGGTCAAGCTGTCCAGCAACATCCTTCTTTTTTCAAAATCCAAGATCCAAGCCTCCAATCGTTAGTTCAGCTTCCTTTTCCATCCGAGCATGTATTTGTTACTGAAAGTGAAATATTTAATCTAATTAATCACCTTTGGTTCATTATATGAGACAACAACAACATAAAGTATTAAGATAATGCATGAATTATATGACTAAATATGCCCATATCAATATATATATATATATATATATATATATATATATATATATATATATATATATATATATATATATATTATATATATATATACCCGCCCAAGTCCCAAAGCCTTATCATAACTAATCTTCGAGTCACGACCCCGAATTATGAAACGATATGAAACATGGTGTTATAGGTTTTAATGATAATAATTAATATCGTTCATGCAAACAAGGTTATCATATAATTTATATAAAATCTGACGTAAAACTAACTACCCAACCCAACTGATCCTCACAGATCCTAAAGCAATGATTATCTGTAGGAATCACCCAACCTAATAAATTGTTTGAGCAATTATTAGACTACATAGCTAGGGGTGTCCTTGGCCAGTGTAGTTTATATAAGGCAACTAATGTTAAAAGATTTGATAAATATGGTATCCCATTTTATCTACGTCCTTGGGTTATAAGTCCATGCTAGCAACATAATTCACTAGACTTCCGAGAATAATTAAGTGTTGTCATCTACTCTGGTCGATGACCCAGACATACTTGCATATTGTCTGATCTAGACCCACCATTTCTAGTCATCCAAGAAAAAGGAGAAACACTCCGCTCTAATCTCACAAACCCTACTCTGGTCATGAGACCTAATCGATATCTAACTTAATTTTAACTAAATATCCTTTAAAAGGCTTTTTCTTAACCTAAGGCAAGACTTATATTTAAAGGCAATTGATTTCCAATACGGTTTCTAATTCAATAGTATTATCTTAATTATATAAATAACATATAACACAGATAATACATGCAAACATTTATTGTCTCACATAAATAATACATTTATTTTAGATTATGATCTTGATAGTAACTACGCACCCACTTAACAAAGTGTCTAGTGATTGGTGAATCGGGCAGAGCTTCGCCTTACACTGTTTCCAAAAGACCTAGATGTACATAATGCTAAGTATTAGTCTAATTTCATACTTCATGGAACTATTATCCTAAGGGTTTAGATTCCTTAATAATCCCAAAGTATACTTCAAGATCTAAACAAGGAATAACTAGGTAGGATCATATAAGAGGTAGGGTCTGTTTGGAAATCCCACTTTAAACACCTCACTAAATCCAACCTAGAGATCACTACCGTATAATGACTTGGAATAATCGATTAATCTTACTTAGAAGTTCCTAGTTACGAATTATAACTATAATTATAAATTACATGGAAACGGAGTAAACAGAGGGCTATTGATGAGAATCAGGATCTAAGCGGGCAAAATACTGACTTAGGATCTTCTACATGAAGGCTAGTACTCAGATAAGTACTTAGGGGCATCGCAGGGCTTCGCCTCTGAACTGAAACAAAGGAAAAATAGGCTAAATGGCAAATATTTCAGAGAGAAATCGATTGAAATGGTGTAACGATTAAAGAATGAATGAGATGCTATTTATAGGGCGATTTCTTGGAATATGCGTCGTGCACCATAGTGGCTCTCTGTGCTCTTGGTCGAGACATAGTGATGTGGCAAAATGTTGGCCTGACACGTGGCAAAAAGTGAGTGGAGCAGCATGGTCCTGTCTGGCATGCCGTGCTCCTGAGGCGCACGTATACCGATGTTTAGATTTTTAAAATTATGTAACTTCTTCATACGAACTTCGTTTTTAACATTCTTTATATCCTCAGAAAGTTCTCGATGAGACCTACAACTTTTGTTTAGATTCCGTCGACTAATCTTGACTTTATATATTTCATATAGGATTCGACTGTTAAAGCCCGTATAGAAAACATAATTCTCTCATCCGGTATCCATTTTTGATATACTTTATATCGTTGGACTCCTATTAACGATATCTTCAAATTTTGTTTATATTATTTTGGCTAAAAGTTGACCGATCTAAAATTCGATTTTTGAGCTGAATAGAACTATGCCGAAACTTAGAAAAATTATAACTTCATCTCACAAAGTCATATTTAGATGTTCTCTATATGCACGCTCTCGGTTTAATAACTACTACGACTTTAATTTAGATTACTTAGACTAAAAAGTAATTTATCAGAAATTTACCTTTTATGATATGCGGAGGCATACCGATTTAATCACGAAACTTCGGAGAAACATAAATTTTTCATATGAAGTCGGATTTGTACCTCGTTATATATCTGAAATCCTCTTAACGTATACTACAACTAAATTAAGATTATTTGTTATAAATAATCTTTTATTTTTGACCCATATTTTAATCTTATTTATTTTATTACTAATACCGTTATGATTTTCATAAAACATCCTATAAAACAGATAAGCACATAATTATATAATAATCTAGCTGGAAACACGGACGTTACATTATAAGGTGACTAATGAAACATTAAGTAACTTTATAAGGTTTTGGATATGAAATACCAATTCATTTTAGACAAGTTCATTGTATTCCGGACACTATTTTAACATTCAGATTGTGTTTATTAAGTTGTTACTCAATAAAAAAAACACAAAAACAAGTAAATGAAGCTACAACTAACATATAAAGTCTCAATATTGTCATGATCTAGCGACATTTTTTACTTCGACAATAAGTCTGATATATCTTATGTCTTGGTGTAAAGTTCAAATTCCATTAAATATGGTCCATTAAATCCGAAACTCGTTTGCTAATTTTCCAGAATATCAATATCCATTTAGAGAGTGTTTGGGTAAGCTTATTGAAAAATGTTTTTAACTCTTTAACTTATAACTTATTAGATTATAACAGTGTGTTAAAACGGAGTTTTTTTTTTTTTTTTAAATGGTTGGATTAACTTATTTGGTATCAAAATGCTATAAGTTGAACAACCAATTTTAGTGTTTTGGTAAAATAACAAAAAAAATGTTTATAGAGATGTTGAACAACTATAAGTTATAATGAGTTTTAATAAGTTAGGAGTTAGTAATTTATCAAAAATGACTTATCTCCGATTCCACACCACTATAAACTATTTAAAAAAAATAATCTATCAAAACACTCATTTTAACTTATACCGATAATACGATAATACGTTAAGAAAACTCATTTTTTAAGCTTAACCAAATTTAAGAGATTGGTCACTTTGTGATACTCTTGTAGTTTAAGCCTCCTTTTAACTAATACCATAGTTGAGGGACCAATCTGGAAATTTCCTAAACTCCAAATGGCAAATAATCGATTATTCCATTTCTTCGCGCCTAAACATCACCACATCTTCAACTCTCATAGATTGGTGCGTTTTCTCCCTCCCTTCTCTCATTTGTGTGATGAACTTCTTTGTATCAGGAAATAGTAGTAAATTTGTATTTTAGGGTTAGTTTAAAGTTCTCGCTGACGAATTTCATTTGTGTTCGCAGATTTTTTACAGATCCGTCGGTGATTCGGGGAGCATACCAAGGCAGCGTCACTTTGTCCGATCGTCCTTCCAATCGGTATGTCTCTCTGTAAAACTCGCTGCTATCTCTCTCTCGCTACTCTATTTTTCTGTAAATTTCAATCGGTATGGAATTTGATTTCATGGTTTTTGGTGATTCTTAATTCTTGATTATTTTCAATATTGATTATTGATTCTTAACTTATAATAATACCATGCTGTTGGTGATTCTTGTTTCTAATACATAGATTATATGTCTACAATTGTTGAATTGATTCCACGATTGGTGTTAAAAATGGGAATAAGAGAAACAAAACTAAAAGAATAAATCTAAAAAAATGTATCTTGGCCTTTTAATCAGGTTTCTAAGTTCTAACCTAATCAACCAAAACCCTCCATTTAATCTAAAAAATGATAATTTACTTTGACTTTTACTTAATACTCTGTTTTCTTACTTGTTTTTAATTTTGTGCAGAAGTATTAATTTGCTATCTATGGTGTTTACCTGTCTACTTGTTAGATCAAAACGGTTTTAGATTTCGATTTACAAATTATTATTTTTTAAAGTTTTCATCCACTTGCTATACATCTAAAAAAAAAGGTTGGATAAAGCCTAAATTTTCTAGTTGTAGTCACTACCGTTAAATAAAAATATTTGTTAAAGAAATTCGAATCACAACTTAACCCAATTCATTAACCCCCAAAAACAATTTTTTTATCTCCTTCCTCACATTTTTCTCCATTTCCCAAAACCAAAATCTTGAAGACTTCCACGGGGAAATTCATCATGTGGAATCCAATCGGGGCATTATTTTCTGGAGTCGGTCATGTTTTTGGAAGTATATTTGGTGCTCCACTCGATTTTCTTTCCGGCAAGTCTTGCAAGTAAATATCCATCATCTTTCTTTAACATCTTTCTGTTTTATGTTCTTTGATGCAGTTTCTTTTAGTGAAACATATATATATATATATATATATATATATATATATATATATATATATATATATATATATATATATATATATATATATATATATATATATATATATGTTCAAATGAGAACCAAAAAAGGTTAAGAACCGTAAGAACCTCTAATTTTAGATGTTTATAAAGGATTTAAGGTTTAGGGTTTAGGATGTTTATAAAGGGTTTCGGTAGTTTATAAAGGGTTTATGGTTACCTAAACCCGTTATAAACATCTAAAGTTAGAGGTTCTTACGGTTCTTAACTTTTTTGGTTCTCATTTGAACCACTCCGTGTGTGTGTATATATATATTTGCACCATGCATGTATCTTTCTTTGATGAAATTTATCATTCTAAATTCAATTTTAGACTGATTTTTGTGGTTAATTTACAATTACTGAAAGCTCTTTGTGTGGTCCAACATGGGATTTTGCTTGTTACATCGAAAATTTCTGCATTCAACATCTAATCAAATTGTGTGCGGTTTCACTTTTGGTTTTCGTCGGTGAGTTTCTTGATATTTTGCCAAATATGAAGAAAGATGATGGATTTTTCACATCGATCTTATGCTCCATTCACCACTTTGTTTCATCAATATGCTTGCAGTTTTACTATTCTTCTACTTTCTATACAAGATTGGAATATATCACTGCATTTTTCATATGTTATGGAAACTTGTACGGGCATGCATCTGGTCATTTTTAGAAAAAATGGGAACAAGGATGCGAATTTCTGTGTCAAATGTTGTGTAACGCCAAGGGTAAAAGGAGAAGACGCAAGAGAGACATTGAAATGACTGATATGAGTATTAATGGAAGCGATGAAGAAACAGACATGGAAACAAGTTTTTCTTATAGGAACAATGGTCGAAGGAGATTGTCGTCAAGAGACCATAAAAGAAACCATTTTAGAAGATCATTAAGGCCTAAAAGCCATCGGCTTCGTGTGGGTGTTGATGGTGATTCAGTTTATGCTACAAAAAGAAAACGTATTAAGCATGGTGATGTTCAAGTTGTTAAAACGTCAAGCTTTGCACGAAAGGGGACAAATCACAAGAGATCAAGACGCAAATAAAAGCCTTGAAACCTAAACACTAAATATGTTTAACGAACCAATCGAAAAAGATGAAACTCCCATACAATAGTTTTCCACACCCTCCATTGGTAAAAGAGTGTCGACAATTGGCCCTCCATGGACAAAAGATACCGAACCCTCCATCGTTTGTTGGCAACCTTTGATTGGTTGACTGAAAGTACAAAAAAGGGAAGGTGATGGGAGTTTTATGCTTTTTAGGGTTAGATGCAAGACATAGCAATATACTTTTAGTGATTTGTTTATTGTAACATCTTGCATTCATTTTTGCCTTTTACAACATTGTGCATGGAAAATTTTACCTAGTTATAGCTTGTAATGTACCAATTTACGCGTGTCAATCAATGACATGACAACAAATTGAAATTGAAATTTGTTTTCGTATTTAGTGTAAAAAAACACGAGGTACTGTTGTGTTTTCGTATTTGACACAATATTAACATGTGTTTCTTATCTTTTTCGTGTATGTAACGTTTTGTATGATTAAGTGTGATGTAAATAAAATAATGGTATCATGTTTAGTAAAATGAACACGGCATTGTGTTCCGTGTGAGACAATTTTTTTTTTTTCATAATTGTCTGATTTAACAGCCCTAACCAAAATACAAAATAATTTTGATTACTACAGTTGGTAAGATTCTTTAAATTATAACGTCATGATACGAAATAAGTTGGTTGAATATTCCGTAGATTTTTCAAAATACAATCATTAATAAAGAAATTAATTGAAAATACAATGTTGTAAGGAAAGAAATGAAAGTAGGATGTTATAATATACAAATAAAGGAAAACACATTGTTATTTAGCCCTTTTCTTTATTCCTTTTTGTTTTTAAGCTGATGATGCAAGTCTTTTTTTTTTTTTTTTTTTTTTTTTGTTAAATTATTGAAATTTTATGAAATGTCTAAATATTGAATGTAAATATTCTTCTGTTTGGGAATAGTTATATACGTTGTGTGTTAAAATATGGATGTCATAATGAATAAACATGACATGAGATGAACTCTTTGAAGATTGAGGCAATACAGGTTTGGTTTCTATAGTGTTTGAATTGAATCTGGGCTAATAATAGTTATGTATTTTAATAATCATTTACATATTAAGGACGTGACATAAGAAAAAGGGTATATCCATTCCAGAAAAAAGAAGCAATATCCGTCCATACTTGAATTAAGATAATATTTATCAAAATTTCACCTTGTAGATGCTATGGTAGGACAACAGTAATCCTAATGAAACAATAAATTAAAAGAAAGATGACAAGAATAAAATTGACTATATATAATATAACAACCATAATTTACAAAATCTTGTACAATTTACCTTGCAATAATAATCTGTGCTAATCTTTATTATAGCAATGTCATTCAAATACAAATCAATTTTTATATAAGCCCTCTAACTAATCTTTTATAAATTTGCCTCGACCTTTTTTTTTGTAAATTCATTTAACTTCGTTTTTAGGTCTCATTTACATGTTTTTTTTACACTTTTTTTACATAAATACTCTTAAAATAAACAATGTAAAAACAAAGTAAAAAAAAGTGTCAAAACAAAGTTGTAATAAAAAAAAAGTAAAAAGAAGTTTTAAAAGATGAAAACATGACAAAATTTGATTCAGAAATTTAACACAAATTACTACAAAAAATAAAACAAAAAGAAATATTAAAATAACAAATTATGTAAAACAAGTTGGGGCATAAAAACTAAAATTTTGGGGCAAATTTGTAGATTAAAAAAGCTAGGTAACCACATGTCACATGGTGCAACGGATACAATTTTGAAATTGAAAGGTGCTCGGGCCTCCAAAAAAAAGTTTAAACTATAACTGGAGGGCTAATTTCAACCTTAACCCTTTTCCAAAGAACAATTCCTTATTAAGAAAAATATTGAAAATATAATGTTGTAATAAGGCTACACGAATGTAAGATGATATAATAAACAAATAAATGAAAGTACATTCTTATTTCTTGTATTTAGGCCTATTATATATCATGTTAAAGGCAACATACTTTCATATATTTGTTTGTTTATTATAGCATTCTATTTTCACGTAGTCCTATTAAAACATTGTACTAATGAGAAAAAAATTGCTATAATTGGGTATAACTTCCTATAATAAAATTTTGAAAGTAAGATGTTACAATTGGGTAAATTTTAAAATGACAGCATCTTAAGAAAAAGAAAACTGAAAAGTACAATGCTGTAATAGGAAAAGGGAACACTAGAAGCAGGTCCATTAACGTGGACAATCAATAGATGCAAAAAAAAAGGAACACTAAACATCCATGTAACAAAACGACTACAAACTACTCCAACATAAAAAATAAAAAAATCAGAGCAAAACAGAGTCCTACTACGACAAGGAGATCTGATTGTATGCGTAGCTGGGGCAGATTTTTTCGTTGTGATGGATTAGGCCATTGCCTAGTTTCTTGAAATCCCCTTGGTTCCTCTGGTTGAATCATAGTGCGGGTAGCTGGGGTAGATTTTTTCATATAAGAAGCATACTGATTTGAATTGGGATTCCACCATATTCATTGTCTTGATATGCCCCCCATGGAGGTTGATGGGTTGATCACGTAAGGGTCATTCTCTCCCAAACTAGTTTGGTTTGGTCCCTAAGGACGTTGATATGGGAATGCAAATGAGTTTACAACATAAGGGTCGACCCAAGCAGGTTGATAGGGCGGTTGTCTTCTATTCATTGCATAAGGATCACTGAAATTTGTTTGGTTTGGACCCTATGGAGGTTGATAGATTGGTGGTTCTCTGTTCATTACATAAGGGTCATATGAATCCAATTCGTTGTAGTGATGGGAACGAGGAAGATCGGGGTTTTTCTTTTTCAAAACCACTATCATGTAGATGAATATGGCCATCTAGAGACGAACTCAAATCATATTCAGAATCCCCATTTCCACCATCAATGGAATGAATATGAGAAATCGAACCAGAAGACATGGAGCCATTGTTGTTAGCCTTACCTTGGTCAGATGGAAATGTGAGCACCGGGAAGGATGGAGAGGGCGAGGGGATTACAAGCTGTTCATCAACAAATCGAGAAAGTGTAAACCCGATGTCTCTAAGAGAATGAAAGTAAGCCAGATGCGAAGAAGACAAATCGTACCGGTAATCCGCTGCGGACTTGATCAATCTCTTCCTCTCTCTACAGCATATCACCAATGGCGAATCGTCAACTTTGGAAGGTCTGCAGCCCATGTCAGTAACACAATATCATCAATCCCCCCCCCTCCAACTCTAAACCCAGTTTTCATATCATTGTCTCTGCTGCACCAGGACTAGTGAACCCATATCAAAACTTGCCAAATCTACGACTACGCTTTCATACATGTATAACATCGCAGTCTGCAAAAGCATTAATGGATTTGGATAAACGATGTCGGTGTTAAAATTTAGGCTATAGGGAGTGGTAGCACTCCTAACACATTGTCACATCATTTTTTTTTTTGCTACCATGCCATTTTTTGGCATGCCACCTTGCTAGCATCTTTTCCTTAGCATTTTATAAGGAGCGGTAGCACCCCTAGCACTCCTTATTTTTTTTATAATTTTCTTTATCAAAAAATAAATAAATTATATTTTTTAATACACAAACATTTCATATTAAATAAATTATATTTTTATAAAACATAAAAATTTAATATTAAATAAAAATGTTTCTATTTTTGGATAAAAAATACTAAGTGGTTGAAACTTTAGGGACCAAATGTGTAACTTTTTTTATTTCTTCCTCAATAATTCTCTGGTAAAGGAACACATCTTCTTCCCCAATTCTCTTTCCTAGATTCTCTAAACGAAGCGCAATAAAAGAAAAAATGGAACAATCAAACCATTGAAAAAAAAAGAAGAAAATAAAGCCAACAACCAATGATTTCCCTTTCTTTCCGACATACATATAGGAATCATCTTCGCTTCTCGAAAAGCCAAACTCTTTGACCTTCTCATCAAAACAAAGGTTCTAGCTGCAAGATGCTTGTTTCAATCCATAAATGGATTTCTCAAGCTTCACACTCTATTAGGGTACTCCTCACTGACAAAACCCTCTAGCTGAATCATGTAAACTTCCTCAGCCAACTTTCCATTAAGGAAAGTGGTTTTGACATCCATTTGCCATATTTCATAATCATGAAATGCAGCAATGGCTAGCATAACCCTAATAGACTTAATCTTTGCCACTAGTGAAAAGGTTTCATCATAATTAATTCCCTGAGTTTGAGTGAAGCCTTTCGCAACCAGTCGTACCTTATAAGTGTGCACTTTTCTAACCATGTCGATCTTCTTCTTGAAGATCTATTTGCACCCGACCGTCTTAAGACCCGATACATTGTCAACCAAGTTCCAAACTTGATTGTTATACATTGATTCAATCTCGTTGTATATAGCCTCTTTCCATTTAGCAGACTCAGGGCCTGCCATGGCTTCCCTATAGTTGTTAAGTTCATCCAAATTTACCAGTGTGCTATCACTAATAAATGTATCACCTTCCACAGTAATATGGAAACCATAGTAATGTTCAGGTGCATTCCTAACTCTCGCGGAACGCCTCAGAGGTACAGACTCGTCAGTTGGATCAACAGGAGTTTCCTCCTCAGGTTGATTGCTAGTGTTTGAGGTTCCTTCACCACTTGACTCTTGAATTTCTTTAAGGTCAATTTGCCTCCCACTGTTTCCTTGGTTCATGAATTCTCTCTCGCGGAAGACCCTTCTCCTTGCCACAAAGACCACACTATCACTAGGTTTGTAGAAAAGGTAACCAAAGGATTTCTGTGGGTAGCCGATGAAAATACACCTCTCAGTTCGAGGTTCGAGCTTATCGTGAGTCTCGCACCTCACGAAAGCCTCCCAACCCCAAATCTTGATGTGGTATGGATTGGGAATTTTTCTAGTCCACATCTCGTGAGGTGTTTTGGCAACCTTCTTGATAGGGACCAGATTAAGGATATGGGTGGCAATCTCTA